ATAATTTCAGTGGGAGAAGTCTATTTGACAACCCCGTTATCTTTAACCATGGATAAAAGTCCCACTTTAAAGTTGGAGCTATGTAGAACCATAGGAATAATCTATTTTTGGAATTAGAAAAAAGTAGACGCACACAAATAGGCTTATTTTGGCAAGTATGTGTAACAAAATTTACCATTTGGGCCATTTTTAAGCAAAAAATTCATTGGAATTAAGTATATTTACAAGGTAGTGCACCTGCCACCATCACCCACCCCAGAAACTTTACTTCATCCCAAACAAATTTCTTAAGCTTTACAATAGCTCTCCAATTTCCCATTGCCCCTTCTCAGCAACCTCTTTTCTACTGTCTCTGAATTTGTCCATTCTAGATAGCTAAAATAGGTGAGCCCATATCATATTTGTTCTTTTGTGTCTAGCTCATATAACATAGCCTGTTTTTAAGTTTCACCCATACTATAGTATGTGTCAGTAATACTGACATGTGTGTTGAGTAATACTCATGTGTGTTGCATTTTGTGTATCCATTCATCTGTTGGAACACTTTGATTTGCTTCCACATTTTGACTACTGTGAGTACTGCTGCTGTAAACACTGGTATACAAGTACAGTCATGGCTCACTTAATGATGGAGATGAGTTCTGAGTAATATGTCATTTGTTGGTTTCATCTTTGTGTGAATATCATAGAGTATACTTACACAAACTAAACCCTAGACTGTATTTTATTTATTTATTTAGTACTGGAGTTTGAAATCGGGGCCTTATGCTTGTTAGGCAGGCACTCTACCACTTGAGCCATGCCCCAGACCCCACCCACATTGTATTTTACTCTGGGATTACCATCACGTATGTGGCCCACTGTTGACTGAAATGTCATGATCTGTTGCATGGCTATTTGTTCAAATCCCTGCTTTCAGTTCCTATGAGCATATACCTAGAAGTGAACTTGTTAGATTATATGTTTTAACTTTTTGAGGAACTGTTAGAACTTTCATTTAAGAAAAACGGATGCAGGGCTAGGCAAAATTCTTAGACTTGACATCAAAAGTATGGTTCAGAAAATAAAGAAATTGATAAATTCGACCTTAGCAAAATCAAAACCTTTTGTTCTATGAAAACCCATATGAGGAGGAATAAGAGACAAGCTGTAGACCAGGCATGGTAGCATACACTTGTAGTCCCAGCTACTCAGGAGGCTAAGGCAGGAGGACCACTTGAGCCCAGGAGTTCAAGGTCACTCTGGGTAACATAGACTCTGGCACACCCCCACGCCCAAAAAAAGACAAGTTTTAGATTGGAAGAAAACACGTGCATATATCCTACAAAGGATTAGTGTATAGCATACGTAAAGAATCTTCAAAACTCAACAGTTAGAAGTTGGACAAAAGACCAAAGAAAATGCAACCCATGCACTAGATGAGGATGTTTTGGTCAGCAAAGAGTAAACTACATATACAATGGTGGTCCCATGAGATTATCCTGGTGTTTCTGAAGAGTGACACCTCCTTAAGAAGAGCTTCAGGCAGGTGCATCCCAAGGTGGTCAGAAGACATTGCTGTTGCCCTGAAGGCCTTCCAGGGGGACACATGGAGGTGGAGGCCTGGTATTGATGATCTTGACCTTGTGCAAGCCTAGGCCTATGGGCACATTTGTGTCTTAGTTTTTAACAAAATGTTTTTAAAAATTACATAAGAAAAAAAGCTTGTAGGATTAAAAAAATATGTTGTGCAGTTATACAAGTGTTTGCTTGCTGTTATTACAAAAAGCCAAAAAAAATTAAAACTTAAAAATTTATAAAGGAAAAAAGTTACAGTGAGCTAAGGCTAATTTATTATTGAGGAACTTTTTTTTTGTAAGTATAGTGTAGGCTGAATGTACGTGTTTTTTTTGTTTTGTTTTTCATTTTTATTTACTGGTGGTGCTGGGGATCAATTCTAGGACCTTGCACATGCTAGGCAAGCACTACACCACAGCTGTATTCCCAGCCCCTGTACAATATAAAGTCTACAGTCATGTACAGTAACACCCTAGACCACATTCTTCTCACCACTCTTTCGCTGACTCAACCAGAGCAGCTTCCAACCCTACAAGCCCCATCCATGGTAACAGCCCTATGTAGATATGCCATTTTGTTTCAGTTTTTAATGTATTTTTACTGTACCTTTATATGTAGATACACAAATACCTTTGTGTTACACCGTTTGTGTATTTGATGCAGGAACATGCTGTACAGGTGTACGCGTAGGTGTGCAGTAGGATATCCCATCTGGGCTACTGTAAGTACACTCTGATGTTCCCACTACAGTGAAATAATCTAATGATTCACCTCTCACAAAATTCCCCATCATTAAGCAAGCGTGACTGTACAGATGGCAAATAAGCACATGAGAAAAATGTTCAGCCTCATTACCCATCAGGCACATCAGAACCACTATGAGATCTCACTACACACTAACAAAATGGCCAAAATAAAAACAGTGCCAACACTAAGTGCTGTGGAGCAGTTTAGATCACACATGCATTTCTGGTAGGAATGTAAAATGGTATAGTCACTCTAGAAAAGAGTTTGACAATTTCTTATAAAACTAACATGTAATGACCACGCAGCCAATAGCTGTACTCTTAGGCATTTTTCATAGAAATGGACATTTTTATTGATACAAAAACCTGTATAGAAATGTTCATAGCAGCTTAATGGTAATTGCCCCCAACTGGAAACAGCTCAGATGTCCCTCAGTGGGCAAGTGGCTAAACAAATAATTATACATCCATACCACAGAATACTATTCAGCAATAAAAAGGAATGGATTATTGATAAAACATCTCCAGAGATGACTTCTGAGGAAAAAAAAATCCTAAAAGATTACATGCTATGTTATTACATTTATGCAACATTTCTGAAAAGACAAAATTTTAGGAATGGACACAGATTAGTGATTATCAGGGGTTAGGGCCTGGAGTAGGGGGCAGGAGGGAAGTGGATGTGGTTATGAAACCAGGACAGACGGATCCTTGTGATATTAAGTGATATTAAGTGCTTGGCAGTGGACACAGAAACCTACACATGACAAAATTGCATGGAACTTGATACAAAAGTGAATACAGTAAAATTGGGAAATCTAAGATCAGTGGATTATCAATGTCATCCTGATGGGGAAATTGTGCTACAGTTTTCCAAAAGGTTACTATTGGGTGAAATTTGTAAATTGTACACATTGTGATCTCTGTATATTGTTTTTAACAACTGAGTGTGAATTTATAGTCTCAATAAAAATTTCAGATTAAAAACCATTAAACGAGCAATGCCCTACAACTAATTCTGCTTAGAGACAGTGGATTGTTATTAACAAACATCTGTATAACCCACAAGATTAAGTATATGATGCTGCAAGTTCTCTTGGCCTCTTGTATAAAATACCAAACTTATAAACTAAAGGAAATTCTTAAGGGACTGAAACTGGGCAAAAATAAAGGCAAGAGAACCTCATTGATGGCCATGAAAAGGTAACAAATTATAGAAAAATCATTCCTGGTTTTTTGTAAAACTGGTCTACCATAGGAAAATTCCTGTCAAAAGCAATCCATGGGCCAAGCGCCTCTGGTTCACACCTGTAAACCCAGCCACACAGGAGGTAGAGATTGGGAGGATCTCTCTCTCAGGCCACCTGGCCTGAGAGGAAAAAAGTTAGACCCTGTTCTCAAAAGACAAGGTGAGTGTGGCAATCAAGTCTGTAATCCCACCTATACAGGAGGTAGAAGTAAGAGGATCATGGTTCGAGACAGCCCAAGGAAAAGCCACGAGGCCCTAAGTAAAAAAAATAAACTAAAGCAAAAAGAACTAGAGGCATGGCTGAAGTGGTAGGACTCAAGGCTCTGAGTTCCAACTCCAGTACTGCCAACAAATAAAAAATAAAAAGCATCCTTTGATTGCTGGAGCAAAGTGTCACTCTGCCCTGAGCTTCCCAAGCCTTCTAGTGTGCATTCCATAGTGCCTGCTCCAAAATTCTGCAGCCTTTGTATAGCATGTTCTCACTTGAGTGGAAACCCGGCTTTCTGCAGGAACAGTGCTCTCCCAGAAGCCCTGTCAGCAAATATGGCTGGTCTTTGTCCCATGCAACATTGTCCCCTTATGGTCATGAGGTGGGTGAATGACCTCCCACACAGAAGCCAAGTAAAAGCCCCTACCCCTTTGAGGCCCATATGTCCCAGAATCCCACTCTTTATCTTGTCCGTTTACTGTCAGTTGTATTTACAGACCTCTCACCCTCGGCTCAACAGGCAGGCAATTGTAGAAAAAGGGGAAAGACCTTTACTTCCTTTATCACAAAATTTCAAGGGCTGGAGGCATGGCTCAAGCAGTAGAACCTAGCAAGCATAATGCCCTGAGTGCAAACATCACAGCCCCGGTGGAGGAGGGGAGGGAGGGAGGAAGGGTTTATACCTTTGAGCTTATCCCTGCAGTGCTGAGTGCTGATGGTGGTCTAGTGCAGCATCTTCTAGTGCATCACCTTATGGGAGGTGAGAGTGAGCAGAGAAAAACCACCTCGAAATCCAGAAACACTTTTAAATTCTAAATCTCCTTTCTCTCTAAATATTTCCCTTGTATCCTCTTTCTTAGAAGTTTCTCTCCCATCTCTATATGCCCTGAGATATAGTAGTGTCAAATTGGGATGTGGTTCTTCAAAAAAGCACAAGTGTTTTCCTTTTTGAAAATAAGTCACATTCATTAAAGTCCACTAAGACGCAAAAACAGCACTCCAGTCCCACCACGCAAATATAACTTTCTAATACTCTATTTCAGTCGTGCTAGTTTGAAAACACCATCACCTCCCCTCACCAAAATTTCAGTTCTCAAGGGCAAGACCCCCTGTTCATCCCAGTTCATCTGGGCCAGCAGCTCCACTTTCAGACCCTTCCGGGCTTTCTCGGCCCCCGTAGGGACGTGCTGACGTCACACGCGCGACGTTGCTGGTTTCCTTGGTGACGGTTGCCAGGGCAGCGCGTGGCGGCGTCCGGCGGAGCTGAGGAAGCTGCAGCGGTCGCAGAAGCCAGGAGCAGAGAGACCGCTGTAAGTGCGCGGAGGTCGGGAGGCAGGACCGGTTGGAGCAGCGAGCCGCAGCTACCGGGCGCACGGATCGACCCGGGCCCCAGCGCACAAGTCTGCCCGAGCGCGGGGCCGGGTCGGACGCCCACAGGGGGCGCGCCCGGAGCCCGCTCCCTCCCCTCTCCCGGGCATCCTCGCCGTGCCCGTCCCCTCCCTGGTACGCCGGATAGTGAGGTGCGAAGCTTGCGGCTCCCCCTCCCCCCCGCACACATCGTCCAAAGTGTATGGTAGGTAGCACAGACAGAACTCGCACTCGGGTCCACATCTGACCTGCCTCTTTTGGCAGCTGCCACTGAACAGCGTTGCAGCGCACCGGGGCAGTGCGACCCCCTTCCTCAGCAAACCCTGATCCACCTGGGGACTGGAAGCGGGACTTCACCCTACTGCCAACCCTGGATAATGCTGGCCCGGCCCCAGCAGTGTATACGCTAGGCTTTTCCGCCACGCCTGAGCTCTGAGGCCGATCCTGAGAATTAAAAAATAACAACAACGACGACGACGACAAAAACCATAGGTGTGGAAAGAGGGAGAGTAGGAAAGAGAACGAGAGAACAAAAGAAAAGTGGCAGGTTGGCGCAGCAAGGGAAGTGCACACCTGCAAAAGGACACAATCTCCTCGCCGATCCCTGTCCCCTATGCACTCATCGGCCTCTCGGACCTTGCTTCACTGTAGGACTCCTGAGTGGGTGCCTCTCTCCCCGCCCCCAGCTCCTTGAGCTGAGTTCCTTCTTTGCAGCTTTAACCTTAACTTAAAAAGCAATTAATTGACTTTTCGTAAAGCATTTTTTGGACTGACAAAAACATTAAACATCCCAATTCCCTTTCTTACTAATCTCTTGCGTTGGCATGGCACATTTGTTAACCAAGGATACGCCTATGTTGATAACATTAACTGAAGTCCATGTTTGCATTAGGGCTCTTTTTTTAATTTTGTACAGATATATGGATTTTTGGTAAATGCATAATGCATGTACCACCATTAAAATATTATACAGAATAGTTTCACTGTCCTAAAATCCACCGGTGCTCCACTTTTCATTCCCTCTCCCACCCTTTGCCTCACCCCGTGGCACCCACTTTCTTTATTGTTTTCCTGGTTTTAGTTTCACAGATTTCTGCTCTTATTTTTATTTCTTTTCTTCAGCTTACTTTGAATTTTGCTCTTCTTTTTCTAGTTTCCTGTGGTAGAATCTTACATTATTGATTTAGGCTCTTTCATCTTTACAGTCTTTGCAGTCAATGCTATAAAATTTCCTTGTAAGCACTACTTTCAAGGCATTCCACACACTTGAGTATTTTCATTTAATTTAAATTATTTAGCATTTTCTTTTGAGACTTCTTTGACTTATGCATCATTTGGAAGTGTGTGTTGTTTAATCTGCATATATTTTGGGATTTCCAGTCATTTTTCTGTTATTGATTTCTACTTAAATTCCATTCTGATCTGTGAGCATACTTTGTATGCTACTTTTTAAATTTGCTGAGTTGTTTTATTGTCACAGAATATGGTCTATCTTAGTGAATGTTCCATGTAAGCTTGAGAAGAATGTGAGTTCTGTTTTGAATGAATTATTTTATAGATGCCAGCTGGTTCTAGTTGTTTGCTATTCAATGTTAAATTGTCTTTACGGATTCTCTGCCTGGCATATGTTACACCTTTGGATATTGTTCCAAACTCATCTGAGTTTTTTGTTTGTGAATTTGATTTTGTTTTTCTTTCTTATTTTTTTCCTTTCATTTCAGTTCAGGAAGTTTCTTTTGACCCATCTTCAAGTTCATTGATTCCTTTCTCGCTGTGTCCAGTTTACTGAAGAGCCCATCAAAGGCATTCTTCATTTCTGTCAATGTGTGTTTGATTTCTAGCACTTCCTTGTTTTCATCTCTCTGCTTAACTTTACCCATCTATTTTTGCATGTTGTTCACTTTTTCCATGAGAACCTTTATCATATTAATCTTAGTTATTTTTCAATTTCTAGTCTGATAATTCCAAAATCTCTTTCACATCTCTTGGTTTTGATGCTTGCTTTGCTATGATTGCCTATTTGTTTGTTGCTGAAATACAGACATGATATATGAGGTAAAAGTAGACATGCCTATAGTACGATGCTTTATGTTTATCTGGCTAGGAGTTAGGATGTATTTGCTATCTGTTGTAGGTATGTTATCAGAGGCCAGAATGTCCTCTAGGGTCCTTGATTTTTGTCTTTCCTCTTATCTTTGTGTTTTCCTAGAGACTCCTTACATAGGACCAAAGGCTTGTGGTTCTTTAAGTACAATCCCTTGTTATTCAGGAACCATACTAATGGTTTCCTGATGGTAGAGGGAGGGGAGCATCCTATAGTCCTGTGAATAGGTAGCTCTGTCTTTTAGTGAGCCTGAGTTGAGTATTCCCCTTCCCCAGATGTGTTAGACTTTGGTAAACCCCAGTGACCTGGGCTCTGGCAAAATAGTTTCCTTTGAAAGCAGATGTTATTAAGGAGAACAGAGAAGTCTGAGCATATTTCAAAACGGTTACTTTCCCCTTCCCTCTGCCAGGAGTATGACAGGATTCCTCTGATCTTCACAGTGAGAGAGAACCTGTAATGCTCTTGGAGGTAAAGCTCATGAAAGTGTGGGGGCCTCCTAAGACTGGACCCTTGGAGTTTTAAGTCTCAAACTAATCTACAGTGAACCTCCAGCAGTTCATCAATTATGGTTTAGTGTTCCCAGAGTTACTGGCTTTCAATGTGGTCTTCTCCTCACAGTGAGCTGTGGTTCTCTGTATTCACGTATCTAGGTTTCAGTTTTCCCTGTACCTCAGTTCTCTGGTGAATCTAAGTTGAACTTTTTTCTTGTGACAGTGAAAATGACAAACTTCTACTCTTTATATGTCAGGCCCGAGACCAGAACTTTTGTTCAGCCTTAAATTTTAGACATCTTTGTTCTTTTTCTTCTTCTTTCTTTTTCCTTTCTTACTACTACTACTACTACTACTATAGAGCAGGTAATGAGGCCTGGTCATGCCCCAGAATACCACAAGTGAAAGACACAAATACTATTGATTAGTTTTGTCGGGCATGGTGATGACACACCAGCACTCAAGAGACCGAGACATTTACATTTTGAGTCTAGATACATTTTGAAGATAGACAAAGAGAATTTGCTGATGGATTTGGATGTGCAAAAATGATGGTGGGGAGTGACTAATTAACCATTGCCCTTCTTCACTTTCTGTTTCAGCATCTTTGTACATGTTGCCTTTCTCCCCAAAATGTCCTTTTTTCAGTTAGTTCCTGTTTATCAGACTTCAACTCCTTTTCTGACTCTATGTTAGACCCCTGATAGCGGCTCTCAGCACCATGCATCTCTCATTGAGAGCATCACAGTTATCTCTGTATACTCATTTTCATGGTCATTTGATCAATGTCTGTCTCTCCTACTAGATTATAAACTCCATAAGGATAGAGCATTCTGTTATGCCAACAAATATCTAAGTGATTGTTGGACCCACATTCTACCTGAGCAAATGAATCCAAGCTGAATGCCTTTAGTGCTGCTTCCTCTGTCATCATAATTGCTGCTGTGATTTCTTTATTCATTCATGGCACAAGTGTTAATTTAGCACCCAGTGTGCACCTTTGCTGGCTTGTACTGCAGAGATGAGATTCAGAGACAAAAGTGATAGTTTTCAGCTTCAGGCTGGGTAGAAGCTGGTAAAAAGTCCCACTTGCTCTTGTGGATTCTCTGAAATAAAATAACAAGCAGTTCTTTGCACCTATTTTTGTCATGGAATAGTCAGGCATCAGGAAGGGCCAAGGTGCATTCTCAAAAATACACCTTTAGTGTTAATTATGTGCTTTAACCAAAAAATAATTTCTTCTGTTTCCTGAGGATCAAACACCCCACTGATATCGTGTTGTCCTTGATGTGCAGTTAAGCTGTTTAGGAAGAGGAAAAGACCATGTTTTGGGGTCCATATCGGAGGAGTCAGTGGCCTCTGCCTTCCCACTGTCCCTACCCACAGCTTCCTGCCTCCACAGCCTTTGCTGTCCTGTCCTATCTCTGATCCCAAGATGTCTCGTCTTCCTCCATATTCCCATTCCTCTCTCCCACCTTCTTCATTCTATATACCTCCCTCACACTACTTTGTCCACATTCTAGTCTTAGCCACCTGAGGCTGGCCTTCTGAGTCAAGACTCACCCAGCCAGCTGCCTATAGCCTGTGCAAGTAGGCCTAGGGGTCTTAAGCCCAACAGTCCAACACCAGGTTTGCCCGTAGCCCAAAAACTGCCTCTCTGCCAGGGGCCAACGTCGTCCCTGTCACTCAGACCCAAGCATAGGAAAGAGCAGATACCAAAGCTCTTGGGCTTGGTGGCCCACAGGTGTCCTATCAGTGCAGGCATGACTGTCTCCTCCAGAGACTTGCTTGGACCAAGGCCACCACTTATTGTACATTGATAGACAGCAGTTTCCTTGCATTCTCTCTAATCCTCCCAGGCTCGTGGGAAGTTCATAACGATTATCATTCGTGGAAGCAAAACAAGTAATTTGTCCAGGACACAGTGTACATCCAGTGAGTACTGGTTCCCCAAGTGTCTTTAAGAGAAAATTGGGAACCGCAGAAGAAAAGAACATCGTAAGTTCCTGTCTTCATTGACATCATACTTCTCTCCTCCTGGAGCAGCAGCTGTCATTCATTCAGTGGCAGTTCTACAGACACTAACTGAAGGCCTATTCTGGCAAGATGCTTAGAATTAATTGAATAAAATGTAAGGTCTTGCCCTTAAGAGGTCTTTTTGTAAAAGGAAGGAATATAAATAAAATTATAGGTCATTATAATACATGGAGGTAAGTTTACTACTCAAGGGGTGCCCAAGGGATTCTGGGAGTCCACAGAGTCCCCCTAGGAGAATCATAAAGACTGAGTGGGAGTTGGGGGAAGGTAAGGACTGAGATGGGAGGCCTGGGAGAAAGGCAGCTCAAGT